TTTATATCACACCATGTTTCTATAGAGCAGCTGAGTTTTAGCCTCCACTAAGCTCTGAGAGGTCAGTGACATATCCAGCTTGCTAATCAAACTCTAGAAAGTACTCCTGTCCTTGGTACGGAAAAGGCACTCAGAAAATATTTGAATTACTAGATACCATGTGTTTGGCTGTCTCTAGTAAGTTAAGTGGTCTTCAGGAAAATAGAACATGAATAGTAAGACCTTTTTTTCTTTCTTTCTTAAATTATATTACATTTTTACTAATACAGAAGGTACAAAACAAAACCAAAGCCCCTGAAGTTTCTGACTTTCATTCGATGAAATGAGTTTTTTTTTTTTTTCTTACTTTGATAGGCAGGACTTGAAACAGAAAAGATCTAGTAAGTTTTCCTCCCATGAGCAAGAGAACCAGAAGCAACCCTGCCCACAAAGCACAGAAAGACGGTATCACGTGATAGTTTTATTACAGTGCTAATAATACTCAGGACTCTGCACAGCACCGCAGTCTTCTAGTCTGGGTCTTGGTAACAGGTTTAAAAGTGTTACTGGAGCTTTGTTTTTTTCCACATTTCCGCTTTCAGGAAAAGTACTCAGTGGTACCTAAGCGACGTTAATTTGATTAAACAGTTTATCCTTAATAACCTGAGACATCAATCCGTGGATGGCTTCTATGGTTGTTTTACAGCTGGAAAGAAGAAACACAATGTCACAAGGGGAACACTGCTTCAAACATCACCTTTTCCACTCATGCTCATCCTTGGATGCCCAGGAATGACCCAGTTTTAGTCATGTTTTTCAAATCATGCCAATTTTTTCCTTATGGCTTATAAAAAAATTCTCTGCTTTCCTTGTTAAGTGTTTTGTTACTGACTAGACCCTTCATAGAAGAATAACTAAATTTTGATACAAGTCATAACAGTTAGTTTTGCTACTCAGTGGCTTTGGGGAAAATTGTTTGCCTTTTTTGAAGGCAACTATGTGTCTACATAGTAATATGCAATAATCACACACTAATCACAGTATTATGTTAGAATATATTATTCCTGGAGTTGCAAGGTGGCTCAGTCAGGTAAAGGTTCTTGCTATCGAGCCTGACCACTTGAGTTAGATCC